ACACTGGGTCGATGCCAACTCACAGCTACCTGAGTACTACACCGACCCAAAGAAAGCAGATTCTCACACAACTTGGTTGGAAAAGCAATCCTCTGCTTCGGCTTCAGCACCGTATTTTTGAGTTAGGAGTGAGAATGAGGAGAGGAAAAGGTTAAAACAGGCACCAAGACACCCAGTTGCACTGCTGTAATGACGGTGGTCTGGTTTTTGGTCTCTGTACGTATCAGGGCTCCATGCAAGGCAGCTGCTTGATTCACTGAGGATGTGTGCAGATCTGAAAGGCCGGGCTGCTTGGTAAACTGGGGCCCAGGGCCACTTAGATGAGCCAGCATGTCCCTTAAAAAACCGTCGCATGGACAGACAAACACACAACCAGGTTCCTGGCGGCACAGTTCTTAGTCTCAAGAAGATAGGAGCAGTCCAGATGCCCCTCAGTGGAAGAACGGAGAAAGGAATGGTGGTGCCGGCGCGCTCGGTGGAATCCTTCACAGCGCTCAAGAACAATGATGGAGCCGGGAAGCACCTCATGGCGTGGATGGTGATGGTTACAAATGGAACCCCTCCACCACACACACACCTAATTCTGGAGAAACAAAAACAAAATAACACCAACACCCCTCTCATCTCCACCCCCCCCACCCCCACCCCCAAATCTCCTGGGACCTATGTGCAACGGAATCTCGCATGGCCACTGAGGTCAGGCTTCTGCCTTTTCAGCAGGCCTTCTGGGTGATGGTTAAGAACTAAAGTAGGAAACCACCAGAGTTTGTTGCTTGTTTCACTCTTTGATGGAGCCAAGCTCCCACGACAGCGACAGCCCCGTCTCGGTAGATGCCTGCTGAATGAGGGAAGGCCTTAAATGTGTGTGGCCCCAGTTATCAGCATTTCCCAGTCCATCTAAACCCAACGCTGCCGTTGCAGCTTGGCTTGTAGGGAGAACAGAGGACCGGTCCCTATCTCTGCTCAGCAGCTTCAGCACATTGCCCCCACCTTAACAAGCCTTCCGAGCAGAGCCAGCAGCAAACCGGCCTTACTGCGGTACAGCCCTTCAAGGACAGACTAGGGAAGTGATATGCGGGCCCCTAGATCCAGCATCTGTGTAAATGTTTCTCTGTGGTAAGTGAAGCTGTGTAAACTTTACACAACACACAGGTTTGTTTTTCTTTAATAGAAATTTGAATTTAATTTTGAAAATAGAAATGAATGCTTATTTTTAGTAAGCATTTAGGTTTACAGAAAAGGACAGTGAGTTCTTACGAAGCCTCCTCTGTCACCGTGCTCCTGCAATCACTAGCCTGCATCCACGTGGTGTGTTTGTTACAGCTGATGAGCCAATGTTGATACATTATGGTTGAGTCAAGTGCTGGTTCTGGGTTTTGACAAACATAATCATGTGTCCACCGTTACAGTAGCACACGGAATCATTTCACTGCCCTGAAAATGCCTGGAAAAGGCCAACTGTTAGCGTCAGTGGATCCTTGCGGAAGTCTGGAGGGGAGAAGTCCTTCATCAGTGAGCCAGCAGTACATAGACTAGCCGGGAGCCCTGGCAACCAGGGGTCTTTTCAGTGTCTCTCCCGTTGGAATCACATAGTATGTAGCTTTAGTGACGCTGTCAGGTTAAGTGACGGACTGTTAAGGCCAAGGTCAAGTTCAAGTTCAATCCTACCAGTTCCTCCTTGGGAGAAAGATAGGCCTTCTTTTCCCATGAAGATGAATAGTCCCGGACACCCTGTGTCAGGTCGTTATGTATCGGACCCGACTCGATGGCAGTGACTTTTTATTTTGCTGTTGTTAGGTGCCAAAGAACTGATCCCGACTCAGAGTGACCCCGTGTCCCGCAGAACGAAACCCTGCCCGGTCCTGGGCCATCCTCACAATTGTCCTCATGTTTGAAGCTATCGATGCTGCCACTGTGAGGATCCGGCTTGTCTCCCTCTTTTCCACTGTCTCACTACTTTACCAAGTGTGCTGCCCTTCTCCAGGGACTGCATGTGACATCCCTCCACATCTTGATAACGTATTTCTTCCCAGTGGTCCCCCATACCCTGTACCCCATTGTATAGACACACCTGTTTGCTTATCCATTCACTTATTGAAGGACAACTTGGTTGTTTCTATTTTTTGGCAATTAGGAATAAGGCTGCTATTAATATCTATGAGCAGGTGTGTGTATGTGTGTGTGTGTAGTGTTAGCTTCACATTTGGTCAAATAAGAGCATGCTTTCTGGTTTGTATGGCAAGCCTATGTTTAGCTTGGTAAGAAATGGCTCATCATAATAATTCATCATTATGGGTTATTGTACATAATAATATATAATAATACATAAGACAAAAGACCATCTTCCACAGTATAGATCCCATTTTGCGTGTTCACCAGCAGTCACTGGAAGTTTCTGTTGTTCTGAAGCCTCATCAATCAGCATTCGATTTTACATATAGGTCCAATAGCATTCGATTTTACACATAGATCCAACAGCATTCGATTTTACACATAGGTCCAATAGCATTCAATTTTACACATAGGTCCAAAACAGCAT